TTTACAAACTTGGCCACAAAAGCTGCACATGAGATGATGCAATGGAAAAAATAATAATGATGCTCGGCTGAATTAAAACAGCTTCACACCCTGTGTGTGGCAGACCAGTTAGTTGCCTGTGCTGTGAGAAGTATCCGTATGGTGTAAGCATCCTATTCTGGTAACACTATTACATGCATTTTAATCCAGCAAAGAGCTGGATTAAACTTTCACACACGCAAAATTCTTAGCAGTGCTGAATCTGATATTTAATATTAATCATAATAATATGGATCTTCTTTAGGGGGAAAAATAGATTCCTATCAGTTCATTTAATATAAAAATATCTGCTATAGTTCTGTCACAGTACGGATAAAACTGTACTAAACTAAAGAGGTGTAATTACTTCAAAATATAAGCATGTTTTCTCCTTAGATTATCATCCTATAAGAAAACACTGTGCTGTTTCTCAATATTTATCCAACATTATCTCAATTTACGGGCTATTTTATTGTCTAAATATTTCAAGTCTGAGACAAATTTTTCACTGAAATTCAGAGATTAAAACCACTCACAGAGATCAGTGATATAATTAAAATCTGTAGCGACTCGTTATTTTGCTGACCACACTTTGGGTTCTTGCCAGTGCTCGTATTAACTGTGTGATTCAGCTTTTCCACTTAGGTCATTTTTCACACAGAGCGTCTTCTATGAATTATACAACATTAACTCTCACAGCTACGCTATGCAAAAACGTATACACACCGTTTAAAATCAAATGGCGTCTCTGAAACCTGTTCTTGATACTTTACTGTACTTATACTTTATATCTTTATATTTATTTGTCTTTATTCTCAAACTCAAGGATTGTTTTTCATCTTTCAACATTTACCTTGAGGTTTCCTTTGGTGGTAAATGCCCGACCACAGATAGTGCAGGCAAAGGGTTTCTCTCCTGTGTGAGTTCTCTCGTGAATTTGAAGAGCACTGGCAGAGGAAAAGCATTTCCCGCAGGCGTTGCAGAAGTGTTGCTTAGGTGTCCTGCGTGGTGGAGCGGCAGAAAGCACAGGAGAAGAGGAGGCAGATGATGTGACTAAACCTGGAGCCATGTCCTTCTCTGGATGGAGGACGTGCAGGAAGCCGTTGACCTCAGGTTTGTTATGAGGGATGACGGAGAGGAGAGAAGGGGTGGGGCTGGAGGACAGGCTGGTGTTTGAAGGCTCAAAGAGCTGTGAGGGCAGATCTCTCATTTGATGGGTTAGCATGTGCTGCTTAAGGTTGCCCTTGGTGGAGAACCCCCTGTTACAGGCCGTGCAAATAAATGGACGTTCTTTGGTATGACTTCGATAGTGAATGTCCAAGGCACTCTGACAAGCAAATGTCTTCCCACAAATGTCACAGGATGTGTTTCTAATGGTGCTTCGCTCACGGAAGGGGAAAATCATGCCCATGGGGTCTTTTGAGGGATTGACAGATGTCAGGTCCAGTGCTCCGATGTTGGAGGGATGAGAGTGTAACGGGCTTGCACTAGTTGGCTCCAAGGATAAAATCCTTTGCGGCCTTTCTTCAAGGCTTGGGGATTTACGAACTTGTGGCTGCATGCTAGTGGGGGATGGCGCCTGCATAGAGGAGGTAGATTCTGACACAGCTGGGCTCCCGGCGCTTTGGCTTTCAATGTCCCCTCCCATCGACGAGGAGTCATTGGTGAGGCAATCCCCTTCAACTAAGCCATTAGCTGTGGCCTTCATGTGGTTAGCATGAAGCTCCTCTGTTGCATTATTGTGAGCATTCTCTGGGCCATTTCTGTCTTCGCCTTCATGGTTAACCATTTCAGCCAGAGCTGGGGAGTTACACAGACTGTCATGGGAAATATCAGCTGACCTGGGTGTGTCTGGAACACTGCTATCTGGGCCTTCCTCCATTAATTCCATGTTATCATCAGAGAAATTGTCCAGGTCATCAAAGTTTCTCTCCTCAAATGAGCCAGTGTCAGAGGCCATGGACTCTGGATAATTCTCTGGCAGAGGGGTGTTGGGAATGTGCCCACCCATGTGCATACGAATGTGCTGCTGCAGAACCACAGCATTTGTGAACTTCTTCTGGCAAATAGGACAGGAGTGTTGGACTCTAAGTGGAGGCATGGCCCTATGGACGCTGTAGTGGGTCTTGAGATTACCCTTAGTGGTGAAAGCCCTGCCACAGACTTTACACTTAAACGGCCTTTCTCCTGTATGAGTGCGGTAGTGCATTTTCAGAGCACTTTGGCAGCTCAGTACTCTGTGACAGATGACACATTCGTTCGGATCTGTCACCTTCCTGTCAATGTTCTCCACAAGTTGCTGTAGCTTGGAGGTCTCTGACCCATGGAGAGGCTCTAAAATGCCTCCAAATGGGAACTTAGCCTTAAACTGATCAGACATAAGCGGCATGAGTGGGTTGGTCATCATGGGTGGACTGTTGGATGTTGTATACTCAGTTATGCGCTCCGAAGCAGAGCTTACGTTTGTCATGTAGCCCGAGGAGTGGCTTCCCTCTTCAGTTTTCCCATTTGAGGTAGGCAGAGTTGCACCTTCACCCTCTTCAGACACGTCGTCATTGTTTTTAGCTGGAGGCTCAGCGGCACCTGAGTCACTTCTTGCGGTAGCAGAAGGGCTAGTTATGGCTACTGAATGGTCTTCCTTTTTAATGAAATGGGGAAGGCTGGGCATGGTTGGTGGCAGCAGCATGCCAACAGAGGAAGTCATAGTAGGCAGAACTGGTTTACTGTCTAACCAGCTGGTAACAGGTTTCTCAGGGGGCAAAGACATGCCATATGGAATGCCAGTACTAGTTGGTATGTTGTCTAAATGCTCAGGAACAGGGTAAGGGTTCATCTGAATATGCGGGTATTTTTCTTTATGACGTTGGAAATGCACCTTCAGGTTACCGCGGGTAGAGAAGCGGTTGCCACAGATATTACACTTGTACGGTCTCTCACCAGTGTGTGAGCGCAGATGGATTTGCAAGGCACTGTCACTCCCAAATACCTTGCCGCAGAACCGACACTTATGCTTGAAAAAAGCATCATCGGAACTGCTCTTGTGTTCAAATGAGTTGACATTTGGTGGCTTGCCTTTCCTCTGCTGGGCCAATGCTGCTAAAGAGTTGAGATCCTCTACAGTAGTGCCAACACTCGGCAGAGAACTGGAGAACATGGGGTTTCCGGGAGGGGGCTGAGGTAGAAGGGGATTCACTGCGGAGCTTAACAAGCTACCTATTCCAAATGCTGGTGTGGATGACTTAGGTATTGAGGTGCTGCTGAGCTGAGAGTGAAGGCTGCTCATACTGCTAACATGACTCGGCCTTTTGTCAGAGGACTGGGTGTTGACTGTTGCCGTCCCCAGTGTGCTAATGCTTTGAGATGTCTCAGTGGTGTTTGGGTTGGCCTGAGGTAGCTGTGCTGCTGCAGCCAGCTGCTTTAGGCTGCTAATACTGGCTGACTGACTAGCGAGGTTCTGCGCTAGGCCTGCGGCTGCAGCCAGCTGTTGGGAGAGATGTGAACTGAGTGTGGTCAGTGGGCTGGCAGTGGGCCCCTTTGTGCCTGGAGCAGAGGTTGGAGGCACCTGCATTTCTGGGGACTGAGAGGCCAGCAGAAGTATCTGATGGCGAATCTGCTCGATAAGCTGCAGCTGGTGTATCTGTTGTTGTTGCAGAGCTAGTAGCTGCTCCATCAGGGCTGGCACTGCCACCCGGGGGGCCCCAGTGGAACGGGCCTCTTGAGAGAACTGTGCAACAGCCACTTTGGTGCTCTGGAGATTTTCTATTATGACATTACTGTTGATCATGGAGAAATTTCCCAGTTCAGTTAGATTACTCAGCTGAGGGAGGGGGGCAGAAATGGCTGAAGTACCCACTGCTGGACCTGCGGTGACTCTGCCACCACTGTTGCTGACTGTGTTGATGGTGGGGCTCCCACTCTCTGTGTGACTGCCCTCTTCTTCGTGGCCACTGCTCATTCCGGAAATGTCCACATCCATGGATTCGTCTTTCTCAAGTGTGTTACGCTCCAAAAGATCACTGCCCTCTGTTTGATCAGTGTTATTAGCTGTGTCATTCATCTGGTCATCAGGATTATGAGGGGGAGACCCGGGTGAGAAACTTTCGGTGGGAGAGACGGGATTTTCATTCACTATCAGAACTAACTGATTTTTAGTGCAAATCTTCTGGTGTTCCTCGAGATCTGATATTTCAAAAAACTCTGCACAACATCTGTTACAGACATGGGCGTCTGACTCCTTGCAGGGGGGGTCCTCTGAGCAAAGTTCTGTCTCCCCTGAAAGAGAGGAAACAGAGGATTAGTGATTAGAAATGTTTTACAGCTGAAGAAGCAGCTTTATCTCCTCAAATTCCATTGTTGTTAATCTTAAGTTAATCAGTTTTACACTTATCCTCTTGATGTATTCACAAAAACAGCAATCGAAAGGCAACAATGCAGCAAAAGAAATGTAAAAAAGCCTTATTCAATTCAGTGGCTTCTTGAACACGATAAGAAGGGAAATCAAATATTGCTTAAAAGTCATCTTTGAAGGTGTACAACTGGGTCTCATCAGCCCATCCAGACGTAATCATTTTCTCAAGATAATCCATCAAAATGTAGAATAAAGTGAAGGAAGGACATTGGTTTTAATGAAATTTCATAGAAACACATTGATTTCCTATATCCCACGGCCTTCAAAGTCAGCTTGTCCACTCGGCGCAAATCAAGCATTTGAAGGACTTATTAGACTTTCAATTCGCTGTCAACTTTGCTCATTTTCAGCCAACTATAGGCATCTTGGACAGGTTATCTATGTCACTAAACTCATTTGTATCCACTCAGGCTGCAATCAGAGGGAGACGTGAACAACAAAGCCTGTGGCACTAAGACAAGTACGAAGAACGACGAATGAGAAGAAAATGTAAAATAAAATAAACACTCACTAGTTCAGTAAATGATTGTATGATAAACCATGAAATTAATATTAATTTTAAAAATGTTGTCAAGATAAATACCTAGGCAAAGAAATTTGAAAAATGTGTTGAAATGAAAAGGAAAAAACTGTGAATCCAAACTTCAGACAAGATCGTCATCATGATAAATGCAGCACAAAATTACAAAAAAAATTGTAAATATAGCTTCCTAGACTTACTTTTAAACCCATAAAAGAGAAAATTAATAAAGTGACCAACACCATAAAAATAAATACACTGACTTTTTTTAATATACTAAAATAGTCAGTAAGTTAAAAAAAAGACTCCCTGCCCCCAGAGCCACTGTTGTTCTCTAGACCTTCTTCCTTTTTTCTCCCTCTTTTTGTCACACTAAAATCTTGCTGTTTAACATACAAGTTGATTTACAAATTGCATTTCTCTATGAATCCCTTTCATTGTAGCTCTGGCCCCTCACACTTTCATCAGGGCCAAGAATTCATTTGCAAATGAAACCCGGAGAAGTGAAGCCCTGCCCCACAGAGAGACAGGATGCCTTCCCATTGTTCGCGCAGCATGGGAGCGGCGGGGATCGTCGGCACAGCCTGGCCCTGCTCATCTCAGCCGACTCAAAGCAGATCCTGTTTAATTCAGGGATTATCTCCCTCAATGTTTTTTTGCTCACAGACATGGGATAATGTAAAGTTGCCATGACAGTAAACCTCGGCCCTCACACCACCAAACCATGCAGAAAGGGAAAAACTGAACTTTAATGACAACTTTCTATGTTAAATCCCATTTCCACTCAGCAGCCACAGACACCCGGGCACAAAAACGTATGTCTGATTATTAACAGGGCCAGGAGCAAAGACTGGACGGACAACATATTAGGTTATTTCAGAATGAATAAACACTATCCAACAACAAGTGAGAAGGACGCCAAAAGAATGTGCACACAGAGAAACTGTGCAAAACAAGTTCTGTCTCAAACTAATATTTAAAAAAAATGAATATGGATGTGTGTGTGCATGTATGCTCACATCCACGCAGAGCATTTGAGAAAACACCGACAACCTAAATCATATACTATAAGGAAAAATGCTTAAAATAAAATTTAAGCTAAAATTTTTATACACACACATACTCTGAAGTGTCAAGTTTTATGCAGCACAGATTTTCAAATATATCAAATCTAAAACATTAAATACCAAATGTATCCAGTTTCGAAAAAGTACGAAGGACAATTATTGTTACTATTAGTAGTAGTTAGTTCATAGTTAGTATGAAAAAAACCCAATGTGAAGCACATTTTGTTTGCCTTTGTGCTTTATTAGTAATGTAACTAAAGAGATCTTTTTTAGTCATAAATAATTTATGCAGCGTTGAACAGTCCCCAGTTCACCAACTCAATCTTTAAGTGTGGAACTAAAGTAAAAAAAAAAAACATGCCTTTAAGGCTGCTGTGAAAATACGGCACCAATAATATAAATGGTACCATTAAAAAAACGATATACAAAGATTTACTTTTAAAAATACACATCTTTCAGTTTTTCGTCTACCATTAAAGACAAAAAAATAAAATAAAAGATTCCCTCAAAGAAAATACTCCAGAGTGTACACAAAGCAGAAGCTGACATGAAGGTTATTCCTGAAATAGTAAGGATTAACTTTCAGTAAAAAAAAAAAAATGTCAGTAAAGTCAAGCTAGTATGACGATGGAGTTGGTAAAACTTCTATAGAATCTCTACCAAAAGCATGGTGTAAGTACTGCACAAGGATAAAGGGCTTGAGGAGAGACAAAGAGAAGAGGATGGAGCCTCGGAGAGACTGAACAAAGTTTGAATATGAGAGACAAGAAAGCCAGGATTAGTCCAAAAAAGGTGCAAGAGAGAGCTTTAAGAGATCCTACATTATTTTATGCGGGGCCTCTGTGAGCCTCTTGACACTTGTAACTTCAGAAGGATTTCTGCTCATGTCGTCTCCAGCATGTAGGACTCATCCCAGTGAACACTGGATTGTGTTCCACTGTTCAGCCACGGTCCAGGACAAGACTTCAATCTCAGCAACTCGGCCCAAAGACACGCTTAAAGCTTAAGGGGAGGGAAAACAGCACAGCAAGTCCTTCAGGGCTACACCTGGGCTCACACCACACAAACAGTGGCGTAATGACAGGCGAGTGCACTTCTGTGTTTGCACAGAACAACAGTGCAAAGAGGGGGCTGCCCTGCCAATCTCCCCTCCAGGAGGGCCACTCTGATAGGGTGAAAGGGGACGGCCACGACACTGATAAGGCCTCGCACACACATAAACACACTCGTACACACACGTCGAGTAAAAAGCCAGGGCCTTGCTGTGCCGCTCGCAGCTCGGAGCAGCGGGGTCAATGACATAGTGGAGTGCAACACACTGGGCCCTGAACTTTCACCACCTCCCCACTGAGGAACACTGGCAAAGGTTAAAACAGCTCCACATCCCACCCTCTGTGGCTCACGCGCTGCACTGGCCAGTGACTACGACCCTCCGCATCACTCATATTCACTTACAGCATACAATGGCTTTCTGTTTTCCTAACCTCCACCTATAGCACAACACCAGAAGAAGAAACACAGAGCAAAAAGGCTGCACTAAAAACCTACAGACGAGTACAGTCACTGCATGTAGTCACAGACATAGACACCACACTGGATTCTACTCCAGAATGTTTGGGTGAAAACTGAAATGGTTTTAGTCCACATTCTGTCTGAGTAAGTAACTGTTTTTATGATTAATACAATATGATGAAAAATCGACTTACTTAGTTACAAAATGTTTTCTTTTTTAATTTATGTGACATTTAAAAAAAATATTTATGGCTGACTTTACATTGAACAAAACATTATTAATTTCCAAAGGCCTGTATATGTTTTTATCATGTGATGATCACCTTATAATTTTAAAATTATAAATACCATAGTGGATGTAAAGACACATGCGTAGCCCTAATGAAATTAATAACTGATTTTATTTTAATTATTTTAATACTAATTATTGTTAAAATACTACACCATTTACTTTAATTATAGTTTAATACGTTAATACGAGAAAGAGGTGGTCATATAATAATTTTAAAGATAAAGATAAAGACATTATTTCCCCCTTGAGTCAATAAACATACAGCGCCCAGTGAAAAATTTGTGACAAAAATATTCTTTTTCTGAAACTAACCAAAAAACCTCGCCACATATAATTTTGTTAAAGATTCCGGTTTTCTTTTCTTTTCTTTTTTTTAATCATTTGTTTTATTTTTCCGGTGAAATGGAACGTAACCGACTTTGCTGGGGCTTGTTGAGAGCCCAGCAGAGAGTCCTGGGTTTCCAGTTTGTGAATAGCACTTTGTATAAACTGATTTCACATTTCAGGCACAACAGCAGCGATAAAGGAGAGTGTTGTTCTTCCACCGACACTAAAACAAACAGTGGTGTCTTAGCAGCGGGACAAAGGGTTATTTTAGGCTTCCCAAATATGTATTATTATATTTTATATCAGATTTTAATAAAGAATAAAAAACAAGCGTAAATTATTTTACAAAACAGTCGCTCTGTGTTCGGATTTGCGAGTTTAGGAACTGTGTGTGAGTGTGTGTGGATTTATTTTACTCTTCCACGAACACAGTTGAACACACAGTCAAACCGATGAGAAGAATTATATACATTAGATGGTGTGTGTGTGTGTGTGTGTGTGTGTGTGTGTGTGTGCACTGTTTTTATTTGATCCAACTTTACGCGTTCTGCTTTATCTGTGTGTAAACTGACAATAACTTATACCGGAGCTGGTGTTTGTTTTAAACGAGACTTTAAAAACGCCGTGTCTTTCTATGAGAGAATTGTTGAAGATGTTTTAAGTTTTTTCTAGTGTCCAGACCTGTGGAGAAGTGGATTCACGGCTGGGTGGTCCGTGTGGACGCACCGACACCGACACCGACACAGACCGCTGATCGCTGGGAAGACACGACCATCTGTGCCGGAGACTAAGTCCAACACGTCTCTAAAGATGCGATAAAAAGACAAAACTAGCGGAAAACTAGTTTAAATAACTTTTTGCCCTCAAACAAACGCTGCGCAAAAGTCGACTGATGTACGACTCTTTTTTTAATGACTGTGTCTCTCGTTTTTAATATGATAAAAAAGAATCACACAAGTATGTTGTATGAAAAATATGAATATTACATTAAAATATTATTTTGACATGGATTATTAAGTTTGTTTCATATCCATAAGTTTATAAACTTCAGTAAAAAAAGAAAACATGCAATGGAATTAAAAAGCACAGTAACCCGTAGTAAAAGTAAAAAGCTCAACTCTAACTGTGTTCCTTACACCTAACCATTGGCACTAAACGCGACACAAAGTGTGCTAAAAGTGGTAAAAGTGCCAAAAGTAAGAATGCGTGTTGCTCGGGGTTTCGCAGCAGCGGTCGAGGCTGTTTGGACTCACCATTGTGCTCCGCTAAAGGCAGCTGAGGGTCGGACTGGAAGTGTTGCGGCTTCGCTTGTTTCCTCCGCGACATGCTGGCTGGCACATCAGCGAGCAGAGAATAGAAAAAATGACGACAAAAACCCTCTCAAAAATTACGTAAAAAAGCGAGCCCATCCACCGCGCATGTGCCCCGTTATGATTATCAATAATGCTGTGCGATTAATCATACGGGGGCTTCTTTGAAAGGCGATTGGCACCTGGCCAGCCCCCCTCCTATTCAAATGAAGTCTCTTTAATCAATTAGCTCCTGATTTGCTGGGGACTCTTGTCTCTCTCTGCTCCCACCCAATGAGTCGGTCCGGACGGTGGAGAAAGGCTGGCTCTTCCAAACTGCCCTCAGACACGGTTTAACCCCTTGTGGGAGTCAAGTCACGGCTTATCTCGACTACTACAGGGGAATGTCAGCATCTCGAGTCCACGCCTGCGACAGTATCTCTCAGTTGTTCACATTCATCAAGCAGTGAACACTTTTTTCCTCTTCTTTCTTACTTTGTCGACTGACCGGACGATGGGAACTCAAAACTCCCGATATCGCGCTCCCGGAACAACTTTCTTGTTCTCTTCAGCTCCGTAGTCCTTTCTCTGTTTATCTTTCTCTAATATCAAGTCGGTCGTTCGGTCAGCGCTGTCGGTGCCGAGCACGGACGCCTAGACTCTGCAGAGTTTGGAGCGACTCTCTCTGTGCGCCCAGGCGCAGCAGCGCACCAGCATGTTCCGTGCGTAAATGGCACCGGTACGCGTTCCCAAAAAGGTCCACAGTGCGATCCGACGTCCCAGCCACTTTCATTTGATTATTCTTAGCAGAAAGATGAGAGGGAGGGAGGAGGGTGGGGGGTTACTTACTAACACGTTTTCATCGCACACTGCATTCCGCGAATAAACAAACTTTGAGGGCCCGTGCGGCACTGGGACAAATATGGAGCCCGGCCCATCGAGGGTCTGATTGGTCACCGTGCTGTTCAGTCATCATGTCATTCACCTCCACCTCCTTCACCGACAACACCAACCCACTCACCCTCTCCCTCTCTCTCTCTCTGTCGCTCGCTCGCTTGCTCTCTTTTTCTCCCCCTCTCTCTAATTACGCACAACAGATCCAAACGCTTTGTGTTCAGTGGGATGACGGGTAAAGACAGCGAACTCAAGTAGTTTCTTCGAAATACGGGATAAATAAAATTTCCGAACATTTTCTCTTACACATTTATTTTTTGCAAACAACTGAGTCGCAGTCGTAAAATGAAAAGTATAAACTCTTATTAAAATATTTTTAATGTACTTTAAACATGTCATAGCCGTTCAAAACACGTTTTACGCTCAGCTGGAGGTTTTGCGAATACTTTTCTTATTTTTAAAAAACATAAAGTAAAAACACAAAAGTAAATTGGTAAAGTTATTATTGTTGTTATTAATATTATTGCTATTATCATTATAGTGCTCGTACAGGGGTGCGCTTTCAGTGGGGCTGTTTGAAGAGACCTGGATGTCCCAAAGGATATCCGTGTGTATCTGTGTGTGTGTGTGTTTGCGCGCGCGCGCCAGCTCCCGCGTGAGTGGAGTAGATTTATTACATGAAAAAGATAAACGAAGCTCTCAGTAAGGCTGATTTTGAGAAATGAAGATAATAATGTTACTATAGGTGATGGCTGGGATGCCATTATTTTTCACTGAATATTTAAAGAGCAGCTGCGGGCTAGATGGATCTGGTCCTCTCCTGTGTCAGCTATCTTTTAGTTTCGACTCGCCCCACTATTTACTTATTCATGAATAA